TGTTCCCTTCCCTCCTAGGTAATATAGGGAATAAAAAGAAGTACGAAATATAATGTATGCTTTTAAAGAATCTATCACCCAGGGTCTCTCTGGACATGAGCTGTTGTTCTTACAACTAGCTGTCCTGGAGAATTCCTTGTAAAACTCTAAGATATAATCCTCTCTATAAAGTATGCAACAAATGGCCATCCACCCTTTGTTGAAGAATTTCAGTGGCTGGCAGAGGTAATTCATAAACCAAGACAACCCATTTTACTTTTGAATAGTTCTAATTTTTAAGAAGTTTTCCCTTACATCCAACTTAAATTCACCTTTTTGCAATAAGTAGGGATGGGTAGGGGGATGTCTTATTGAGAATGACAGAAGACTATCTGAAGCAAGTATGGAAATTCAATAATTCTCAGCCTCTTTGAAGAAAAGATGAAGGGGTTTGAGGATTGTCTCTTCATTGTTCAGGCTTTTGGGTGTAGGAGTGGGGCAAAGTATTGCTTTTAAAATAGAATAAGGGATTCCATGTGAAAAATAGCAAAAAGAATCTGAAGAGATAGAATGACATTCTGACCCATATAAGGAGGCTGGAGAATAGAAGAATGTGGCACAAAGGGAAAAGGAATGTAGTAGAACCACTAAATAATAGGAAATTGGGGGTGGGGAGATGAAGTTCTTCTTAATGTGGAGAAAGTGTATCCTCTGAAATGGAAGCAACTATTTCTCCTCCAAATGATGATGATGTAGATCCAAAAGTGCTGTCAGGTGAAAGATCACCCCATAAGGGTGAGAGGAAAACCAGATGATTAGGAGTAGTTGGTCATTTCCTGCTTAGCAGTATTGAGGCAGCCATTTGTCAAATAGCTATCAGCAACAGAGAGGTCTGCTCTTTTCCTGGAGCACGTGTCCAGGATGTGCCAAAGAAATTCTCGATACTTGTTAAACTGGATAACACCACTTCTAGTAATTCAGGCTAGGTACAGAGGAGAAAACATTGTCTTTGGGATCAGAGGACCTTGATTTCACATCTCATTTCTGACTTTTACTACCCTTGTAACCTTTGGAAAGTCACTCACAAAGTCTGTGGGCCCCATTTACATCATCTATAAAATGAGGGGGTTGGAGAAATCCTGCTTCCCAGCTCTTGGCAAAGAATTAATAGACTAGATGCACAGAATAAGAAATGCATTTCCAGGCACAAACAAGATATGGATTCATTTTTCCTGGTGATATTTAATTGTTCCAAGGGAGGGAGGAAGGAGGAAAGAGAATTAGTGATACTGATATTTTTAAAAGGAAGAAAAGAGTAAACATCAATTATTTAAAAATAAAAAGAAAGAAATTCAGAAGGGGATACAGATTAGTACCACAGTATTAAAATTGTCATGTTAAATTTGGAGTATTTTTAAAAAATGGATATTCAGTTTAATATGAAGTGCTCTTTTTCTGCTTTTCTCTGTATAAGGAAATGCTCATGTTTAGTGATGCATGACAAGTTCACAATAATACAAAGATTTTTTGGGGGGGCTAGGCAATGGGGTTAAGTGACTTGCCCAGGGTCACACAGCTAGTAAGTGGTATGTGTCTGAGACTGGATTTGAACTCAGGTGCGCCTGAATCTAGAGCCAGTGCTGTATTTACTGTGCCACCTAGCTGCCCCAAAGATTTTTTTTTAATAAGAGAGTTGGACTAGATGATCTTTGAGGTAGCTTCTGGCTCTAGAGCTATGATCCTATGACATGATACTGTTGTGAGGAATTGAAAAGTCACTACTAAAGATTACAAAGTTTTTGACAAGAAATGGAAAAGCATAGGGGTGGTATTGACATCATTGTTCTTCAGTCACATCCAACTGTTTGTGACCCCATTTGGGATTTTCTTGGCAAAGATCCTGGAGTGGTTTGCCATTTCCTTTTCTAGATCACTTTTTTTTAACAGATGAGGAAACTAAGGCAACCAGGGTTAAGTGACTTGCCCAGGGCCAGTTACACAGCTAGTAAATGTCTGAGGCTGGATTTGAACTCACCTGGCACTCTATGTACTGTGTCACCCAGCTATTCCATCAGCATCATTGCTGTTGATCAAAGGGAAGATCTCCAGAAGAGAGAAAAGCAGATTTGAGGAGTGAATAGCTGCTTAAGAATATGGTATATGAAAGTAGGGTTTGGATTTCTAGAACATGGTTTAAGATAAAGGAACAAAAAATATTTGGCCAGAAGTGAAATGCACTTAACAATGGCTAGCAAGAATGTAGTTGCTTGGAATCTTACAAATCTAATTCAAAGAACTAGTAAAACCTACATATGTATGGAAGAAACCTACACATACACACACATACGCACATGCACACGCCTCAACCTAGATTCTGTAAAAAGTAACAGCAGAGTAGGAAGAATAAGTAGTTCAGAAATTCATAGGTAACAAAACACAGAAAGAGCCATTAATAAAAAGCCATGGCTTTATACATACATAAATGTAGAATATAAAGCTAGGTTTAATTAGTTCAAATAATGAATCCTCTGAAATGATCTCATTATCCAAAATCACACTGAATATTTCCATTGGGCTGGAGCCAATGACCATATTTTACCTAATTATACCTTTCAATGGTACAAATCTGAATACACGGACCACTTTAGGTGATTCATTATTTGCACTGAGACCTCATTGTATAGATACAGCCCATGTAAGCTCTGTGAAATTCTTATCTCAATGCCCATCTCCACTGATGCATTGGGTTTCCAAAGCTTTCCTATCTACATCTTCCCTTATGGATTATAGGGATACCTCTGAGAATTCAGGGGTCATTCAAAAATGTCATTGGGTAAAACCCCTATCAGTAGGTTTCCCCTACAGCTGATAACGATTTAGTCGGCCAGGTTAAGTTACTTTTTAGAAATGATGTTCACTAAGGTGGCACAGGAAGCACAGATGATACAAAACAACTTCTCCAAAGCCTGTGACACATTGTCCCACAAGTACTTATAGAGTCCAGGGAGAAGTGAGCTCAAGCTTAGAGATCACACCTGGTAAATGCCCTGTTGCTGGAAATCATTTTATTCCATTTGTGTGGTACTCAGAAAGTTCTTCTTAAGCATGGTGAATCTGCATCCAATTTGCCCTTGGCTCCTGGTACAGACACTGCTGCTAGTTGATTCAGAGATGCATTTAGGATACTAAAAAGAAGACCTCATTAGTCTCTTTAGAGAACTCTTCCCTTGACTCATCAATGAAACTGTTTCTTTTTGAATCTTCAGAAGCTCACTAAAGAGTTTCCTATCACTGCTGAACAGGCTCCCCCTGTAGAATTTTAGACCATCAGAGTTTACCTATTCTTTCTTTGAACACTGAGATTTATTCTTCCCAAATCTAAAGTGTGTATCACAATATGCCCTCCAATCCTGTGCCCCTAAAGTTAATTGCTATTTTTATTTTTAGTAAGAATCAGATTTATAACAGTAGTTCTCCACATTTGTTTCTCCATCTTTTGAAGGATGGAATGGTAATTAAGACAAGTCAAGACATTGCTCATTGCTCTGCTTGGGGCAGAGAGAGAGAACTACAACAGATAATTGAAATGCTTCATTACTACTACTAAATCTTGTATCCTCAGTAAGCTTGTGATTTGTTTCCCAAATACCTCATCCATTTTCATTCTTCCATATTCCTCACCTTATACTCCATTGAGACCTGTCAATTCTACCTCAGCAACAGTGCTTTTACTTGGCCCCTTCCCTCTGTCTCCACTACAACTATACTAGTTTGGACCCTTGTTACTATCTTGACTCTACTATTGCTAGTCTTAATAGGTCTTCCAAGCTTGACACTCTCCCTCCTTTAAATAGTCATTTTAGGGGCAGCTAGGTGGCATAGTGGATAGAGCACCGGCCCTGAAGCCAGGAGGACATGAGTTCAAAACCAGCCTCAGACCAAACACTTAACACTTACTAGCTGTGTGACCCTGGGCAAGTCACTTAACCCCAATTGCCAAAAAAACTAAAACATAAATAGTCATTTTATTGCCAGAATAATCTTTCTCACATATCCACTTGGTCCTGTCACTTTACTGCTCTCAAAACTCTTCTCTTGGAAATGTTTGTTGGCTCTCTAAAGTCTATCAAGTGAAGATCTGCTCTGTTTGTCTGATATTCAAGACCTTCTGCAATCTTGTGCCATTTTCTCTTTCCAGATTTATTTCACATAACTACTAACCTTTGTGGTCTCTATGCTTCAGCCAAAGTCTGTTTCTTCAATTTCCTCTGAATTTTCCTGCTGACAATGCCTATTGTTTAAACTGTTCTTTTAATGCCCTTCCTTTGCCTGTTGAATTCTTTCCCATCCTTTAGAGCCCTACTCAGATACTAATTTTTCCTATAAGCCTTCCCAAATCCCCTGGTTAGTAATAATCTTTCGACTGGGACCTCACCTTCTTTTGCAATACTAATGCACTTGCCATGTAATGTTGCATATTATAGTTATGCTGGTTTCTTATCTCTTTACTAGACTATAGGTTCCATGTGGATAGGAATTAAATCTTATCTAAACTTTGTAGCACCTCTAGTTCCTTGTACAGCATTCTTCACATAGTACTTAAAATATTTCTTGGATGGATACATGAATGAAAATATATTATGACATGTGAGTAACCCCTTGAATTAATGAATGAATTAGACAGAAAATGCCATAGAAGTCCAACAGTGAGAGAGGTGACTACAGATTAGGAAAATTTCATGCAAAGATAGAACTTGGCATAATGTTGCAAAAATACATGCGTCTTTCATTTTCACAGAAGAGACTGCTAATAACAAAAAATAAATCAGTTAGCTAGATAGAATCATCCTCCAAATGCCAAGTCATTTATGTGGTAATAAAGTTGTCTCTAATGGTGTCAACATAAGCAATCAGGAAATTTTACCTTTAAAATGGCCAATTTCATTTAAAAAAATCATAAGACCAATTGTTGGACCATATCAATAAAATTACAAATTAATATTCAACTTTTACTTTTCCAGTTCTCTGATGGGGTTGTCACATTTGGCCTCTGATGCCTTCAGGACATTGATCTTTCATAAATTCTTGCAAACACAACTTAACAAAAAAAAAGTGTCCTTCCTTCCCTTTTTGGACCAAGAAGTCTAGGCATTTTGCATCTTTAGGTAAGTCACATTTATTGCTGCATCCAATGTCAGCTCCTTCAGTTGGTGGTTTAGAGCTGTCTTTAGCTTGTACAGGTCCTCATTCTTCCTTTAAAAGGAGTTAGTATATCAGTAATATCAAGAACTAGAACTCTTCTGCTAAGTTCTACTCTTTGCTTTCATAAATAGACCTTCAACTCTTGAAAAATATTAGATGAAAAGTGGGTACCTTATGAGTTCATCTCTCTCAACAGTTTCATGGAGAATTTTTATGGCTAGAGTACAAACAAATATTTAAAGTGGGGCTTTCTAGGTACCCAAGACTTCAAGAACACTGTTCAGGGCTCATTTCTGAAACCAGAACTTTCCTAGGTTGTCTCCTAGCAATCTTGCTAGGAAAGAGATCTTATGCATAGGAAAAGTGGATTAAGGAAAAATATGAAATTTGAAACATGGAAGTTATTCTCAATACATTTTTAAAAATAACTGATTTCCTTAAAGAAATAGCTTCCATTTCCTCAAAGAAAAATGATGTGTGCTGCTATCATTTTTAAGTTATCTATTTAATATGCTCAATATTATCTAACAAACTAGCCCTAGGTTAGTTTAATAAATTCCAGACTGAGAACAGTATTCTTTGGAAATGTGTCTGCCTCTTAGGATGAGGGGTGGGAAGATGGAGAAGTGGTACTTTTGGAATTCAGTTATCCAGCAATTGTTTTTGTTTTCTGGTACAAATTTGTGTAAATTTAAATGTATTTTGAAAAGATAAAGTCTCTATTTGTCAACTTAATCCTTTCCTCCAAATATTTACTCCATGCTGCAAGATTTGACCCATGAGGTAATTCCTACATAATTTAATATTAACCTAGACAGCCTCTAAGGTCCCTCCTAAAATCCTAAGGTTCCATGGTTTTAGTTTAATTAAGAAGCAAAGTCAGTGCAGACTGGTAGCTTATTTTAAGTGGTCTGAATTATTATTTTTGAAATTATAATAATAACTAACATTTATGTAACTTCAGCTTATGATCTTTTGGGGGGGTATAGATCTGGGATTTTATTAGTATGGTGGAACTCTCAGTGTGGACACTCTATTCACCAATGTAGATTGGCAATTCTCATGTAACTTACAGTCTTAGAGAATCATCTGAGGCCCTGGGAGATTAAGTGACTTGTGTAGTTAGTATGTGTGAGAGGCAAAATATAAATCCAGGTCATTCTGACTCTAAAGCTAGGACTCTAGTCATTACACCATACCATCTCTCTAGATTGTATTACATGAAAGTTTATAAGATCTTTTCTCATAAGAACCATATGAGGTAGGCATTGCAAGTAACCATTTTATTGATAAGGAAATGAAGCCTCAAAGAAGTTAAATTACTTACCCAACATTATAAAGCTAGTAAATATCAGAGTCAGGATGCAAATCCCTTTGTCTAAAATCCAAGTTCAGTCATCTTTTCACTATATCATACTGCTGAAATCTATATTACTTAATTTGCAAGGTCAGCTTCACTTTAAAATTAACTCCTCCATTAAGTTTTTCTCATTTATAAGACAACAGGATTGGTTTAGATGATCTCCAGATCAGCTCTAATATTTTATGACTGTTATGTGAAGAAGTTTTAGAGTAATCTTATTTTATTGTTTCTTGTAGAAAAAAAAACAAACGTATCCAAGAAAATCACCTTGAGACGCCTCAGTCTCCAAAGACTATTTTTTGCCCTTAATTAGGAAAGGGCAATTAGGTAATTGGAGATAGACTACAGTTAAACTCTCTCCCTCTGTATGCTAGGACTGTGGTGAGCTCCCCCTCTCTTTCTGAGGCATTGCTCCTATATTTATAGAGTTGCTTGATGCTTTGTTTGGCTTGGGATGAGCTTAGCTGGGAGTTGAGGTGACCTGTACCAAGGCGGCATATTTGAGAAACTTTCAGCACTATTTAAGTAGATGGCTTGTCCCCATTCATCATTTAAGCCGCTAGGAAATTAATTCACTTCTTAGACAGGTGTTAATCTGAGCAGAAGTAAGAGTTCTAAGATTCTGAATTCTCTATGTCCTTAAGTACACTGTTTTGGAGTGGGCATTTGTTTTTACATTTATGGGATGAATTATCATCTATCCTATAAATATGGGATCATTCCATATTTGAATAACCTCAGCAAGTATGTTAGGTTGCTGATATGTCCTGTGTCTGGGTAGTGAATTGGGAATTTGTCTGGGGGTATCACGTGAATTCTGGGAAGTTCTGATAGCTTGACTTACTCCTCTTCCTCAACATTTAACTATTTCATTAAATAAATAGGAAGGAAGGTAAGGATCTTCATATAGCAGACACTCTGCAATCAGTCTCCTATCTTTCCAATCATATCTCATGTTGTCCTCCTGAACACATTCTTCATTACAGCCAAACTGGAATATTAGATAGTCCCATCTCATATTTCACTCTCTTACCTTTATGCATTCCAAAAAGCCATCTTCTATGCACTGACTCGTCAACTCTTCCCATTGAAATCCTTCTCTTGCTTCAAGATCTAGCTCTGATACCACCTTGTACATGAAGTTTTCCTTGATTTATGAGCTGAAGACGATCTTTTCCTTTTCAAATTTTCTTAGAGAACTTCATTCAGATCATCATTGTATTCTACCCTGAACTATACTTATTTCTGTATGTGTCATATTTCCTCCAATATATTGTGAGTTCCTTTAGAGAAGGGACTTTATCAGTTCTCATTTTTGTATCTCCAGGATTTTGTTCATAAAGCCACATAATAAATATTTGTCAGATTGATAGCCCTCACATTCAACTTCCCAATCTGAGTCCTAGTTCCAGATTTTCTGTATAGAGATCTGCAAATCCCATTTGTAAGATTCAAAGTCATCTTTTTATATATTTCCTTTTTTTTTTAAAATCACCCATGGGGAATACAGTCATACTAATATAATGGTGGTGGAGCTGTGAATTGGTCTTACAATTCTGGAAAAGTATTTGTAACTATATCCATTATGTCAATAAATTGTACATTACCCTTTGACCTAGAATTGATACTTGTAGGCACATACTCCATAAAGAGGTGAAAGACAGAAGGAAAGAATACAGCTAGGTGGTGCAGTGTGTAGAGCATTGGCCCTAGAGTCAGGAGATTTACTAACTGTGGGATCCTAGGCAAAACTTCTACTTGATTCAATTTCCTCACCTGTGAAAATGAAGCTCATAATAGTACTTAATAGTACTTGTTGTAAGGGTAAAATTAGATAATACTTGTAAAGTGATTTGTGAACCTTAGAGGTTCACAGGCTTAAAAAGGAAAAGAAAGGAAAAAAGAGGTCACTAAAAGGCCAACTGCATGGAAAAAATGTTGTCAGTCTGAATTCTCTATCCTACAAGTCTCCTTTCTTGTTGTATAAATGTTATATTTCTCAAGTAATACCTAACTCAAAGGGTTAATATTAATCAGTTATTATTGTAATGTTAATAATATTAAGCAATATTATTAATTATAATTAACACAATATAATTATAATTAATACTAATATTTTATTAATATTCAATAAACATTTAATAACATAACATATTAATAATAAATAGTAGTTATTATTATTATGTACCAAATATTTATAGCTGCAACAAACAGGAAAAAATGAGTACCAATTAATTAGGAAATGGCTGAACAATTTATGGTATATGAATGTATTGAATATTGTTGCATTAAAAATGACAATATTCTGAGAAACATGTATAGAATTAGAGGAATTAATGTATAATGAAATGAGCAGAATCAGGAGGATAATTTATATAATTTTGTCAATAACATAAAGGAAAACAATTATAAAAGACTTCAGAACTTTGACCAACAAACATGGTTTGCCATTTCCTTCTCCAGCTCATTTTGACCAATCATGACTTCAGAAGACTGATGATAAAGTATATCTTCACCCTCACTTCCAATACTGCCCTCCTACCCTCAACACTTCTTAGCAGAAAGGGAGTGAGCTAGAGATCCAGCATGAGGCATACATTTTCAGATATTGTCAATGTGTTTATTTGATTTACCTAATTATATTTATTTGTTATAAGGGAAGGTTTCAGGATGGGGGATTTGGGGGCAGGGTTAGTGGGAAGAGATGGATGCAAGAAGAAAAGTTTGTTAATGAAATAATAAAAATACAGAGAAAAACAAAAAAGAAATGTAGGATACACGCAGAATAATTTTGTTGGTACCATGTTAAATTTAATATATGCTGCTTAAAAAACTGTAAAAAAACCTTTTCTTGTTTTTTCAGTTGTTTTTCATCTGTGTCCACTTCTTTGTGACCCCATTTTGGGATTTTCTTGGCAAAGATACTGGAATGGTTTGCCATTTCCTTCTCCAGCTCATTTTACAGATGAGGAAACTGAGGGAAACAGATCTAAGTGACTTACTAATGACAACTAGTAAGTGTCTGAGGTGGGGTTTGAACTCAAGAAGATGAGACTTCCTGATTCCAGACCCAGCACTGCACCACCTAATTGCCCTGTACACAATCCTGAGTTTTGTTTTTTGTATGTTGGAATATGATTTTGGTTAAGTTCATATTTTTACCACTTCAAAATAACTTGTGGGCAAAGCAATATTTATGCCTTTATAAAAACAGTTGTTTCTTCCACACTTCATAAATGGTTTATTTGTTTGAATTGTTGAACCTCTGAGTTCAGTGACTGTAGGATTCAATCTCACTTTGGGATTTTTTTTTTTTTTGCTTCTTCAAGTGCAGATGAAAGTTTCAGACTTTTACCTTTTTGGTCAGCATTGGGATTTTCCAAAGGTGTAAGTCTTTGATCTATGTAAGGCAAGAGAACAGTGTTATCATCTATATAATAAACTCTCTAAAATTGTCAGATTATTTCTCTCCAAAAATTAATGAAAGGTGGGTAGAGAGGCAAATGGAAGAAAATAAGATTTCTTCTTCCACTTGATTGGGACTCACTTTTCTTAATCATTGCTACAACAAAAAGTGAGATTGTAAATAGCTAGTATCTA